ATCGTGCAGGAAGTTCTGTTCCCTCAATCTTTATCCTAACTTTCTCATCTCCTTTTGATGCACAATTAAAAGGAAGGTGTTGGGCTGAAACCATTGTGCATTGGAGAAAATAGGCTTGTACTGCTCTAAGGTAGTCCAACTACATTTTCTCAATCCTTAGCAGTCTGCTCAGAACCCCTTGTTTACTTGACTGTGTGGTGGTTAGTGGTACTTTGTATTCCCTTCTGATCACCTCCCTTTCCAAGCCTTTCTAGACTCCACTGCTTTTCAGATTTTAATGAATTCTTCAGCAGTTTTGTTTTTCCTTCCTTCCATGTGCCAGGACGTACACCAGGTTCCAGAATAAAATTGTAAATAGGCTACAGCCCCTGCCCCCATGGAGCACGGAATCTAAGGAGGGGATCTGAACAAACATGAGTCCACCTGAGATGATGGGGCAGTGGGAGTCAAGAGGAAAGACATGAAGGCAGGCTGGAAACTCAGGAAAAGCTACAAGAGGAGCTAACTCGTGCCCAGCTGCCGTCTTACTCTCTCCCATCTTCTAAAGCTAGCTGGATCCCACGAAGCCCTTCTCTGTAACATTTCTTTTCTTTCTTTCTTCCCCAGCCAACACTAATTTGTCTGTCTGTTAAAACAAAACTTGGAAAAAGGCACAAATGAGAATTGACTCCCTGAAGGGAGTATTTGTATTTGGTAGGAGGAGTTTATTAACCCAAAAGTATTTTTAGTGGTGGCGTGGATAAATGAGTAATGTACTTCTGAACAGGAAATTCCAACAGCAGGCCGCCTCCAAATACTAATGTAACACTTATGAGCACTTTGTCAGACTTTAAATTATATATTATATATATTATATTCAAGGAAAATACACTACCCCTTCTCTTCATATTGTACCCCTCTTCCATTCAAGAACCAGAAAAGTGACTTTACCATCACAACCTATCAATATTAGAACCCTTTTAGTTCATTGATTTCCCACCCCACGTGAGGTAGGTTTGGGGAGCTTTACATATATATCAAAAACTCAAAAAATAAAATCACTGCTATCAAGTTGATTTTGACTCTTAGCGACCTTATAGCACAGGGTGGAACTGCCCCTTTGGATTTCCAAGACTGTCACTCTTTCTGGGAATAGAAAGCCTCCTCTTTCTCCCCTGGGGCAGCTGGTGGTTTCAAACCACCAATCCTGTTGTTAGCAGCCCACTGTGTAACCCACTGGGCCACCAGCGATCGTAAGTATAGGTGTGTGTATATGTATCTTGAATATTATAATTGCCATGTTTTTTATCATAAAGTTACAAATCTAATTTAGTCTGAAAGCTTAGGAGAATGTAAAGAAGGTCATGAAATATTTATATTTATATAAAGATGTTATATTTATAACAGAGCAGGATTTAGAAAGATTCTTATAAAAACACCTGTGGATTCATATCTTTACCTTAATTATGTGATAGAAATTTATAAAGAATGCTTTTTTTACTTGAGTTTCTTTATTCATACCTATTTTATTTATGATCCTTCCTAATTACCTAAAGGAAGCTACATTAAACAAACAACTGAAAATGGTTTAATTCTTTCCTCTGTCCTCATTGCATTGTATTTGAACTCAAGTACTATTTAGTATTTAGCAATCTATAAAATTGAAATGAACTACTTTAAATATATATTTAAAATAAACTTTATTGATACAGTTTACATAAGAATATGAATACTCATTCTGAGTATACTTTTTGACGAGTTCTGACGCATGAATGCCACTGTGGAACTACTACTAGAATCAAGGTACAGAACATTCCCATCACCCCCAATGTATCCCTACCCTAACCCCTAGACAACCTGTAATCTGTTTTTCAAAAAATATTTCACTTTATTAGTTATTGTTGAGACTCTGTATAGCAGAACATGCACAGTTTAACAGTTTCTGCGTGTACAACTCAGAGACACTGATTACATTCTTCAAGTGTGTCATCGTCTTCACCTCCTTGTACAAGTTGTTCTTTCCCGTCAACACCAAACTCATTGCCCCCAAGTTTCCTCGCTCATCTCTGACATTCCTGCTGTGCTCTCTTTGATCTGGTTTAGATAGATCTTTTAAAAGCACAGTACAGGAGGCAGACAATCATTACTAGTTAAGCTACATTATTGCTTGGTTTTAAGAAGCCTTTAAGGGATTTACAATTTTTTTAAATTAAATGTTTAAAGATTACCTCAGGACAATAGTTTCTGGAGTTCCTCTACCCTCTATGCCTCCACAGAAAATGGATTCCATGAGAATTTTAAATTGTGTTCCACGTTTCTCATCTTTTGATCATTGTTCTTCTGTAGAATTGTTCATCAGAATTTTCAGTAGTGGTAGGTTTAAACTGCTGAATTTGCCGTTTCTTATCCATTCACCTCTTAGTGGAGATTTGATTGATTTCCAGTTGAGGCTCTTATGAACGCAACTACTTTGCAGATTTGCATGGCAGTCTTTTGTGGACATGAGTTTTTAATTTTCTTAGGAATTAAATTGTTGAGTCATATGTAAGTGTATGCTTAGCTTTGTTATTGTTCATTTTAAACATTTTATTGTAAGTTGGACGAAGGTTTCCAGAGCAGGTCATCAGTTTTCCATTCAATAATTCATTCGCATTTGATTCTTCTCCTCATCGCAGTTCCTGCAGTATGACACTGCTTAGCCCATTGTCCCCGTGTTTCCCATTTCCATCCCTGTGTGTGCCGACCTTTATAAGAAACTTACAAAGACTTTCTACTGTTATGCACTCCCCCCAGCAATGTATGGAATTTCAATTGTTCCACATACTTGCCAACCCTTGGCATTATCAGTCTTTCTAATTTTAGCCATTCCAGTTGTGTGGTGTATAGTGCTATCTTTTTCATCTTCTTCCATTTCATTTGCATTTGGATGTTGAGCCTCTTTCCCTGTGCTCAATGACCATGAATGCAGGCTTATCTTTCTTTGTGATGTCTTTATTAAAATCTTTTGCTCACTTTGAAATTTGGCTTATAATTTATAATTAAATTATAATCTGGATAAAAGCTTTTTATCAGATATTTTGTATTGTGAATATTTTCTTTGCGGTCTGTAGTTTGCATTTTCATTTTCTTTTCAATGTCTTCAGAGGAGCAATTTTGTGATACTTTGAAATCTAATTGGTCAGATTTTTCTTTTATAGTAGGTACATTTTATGCGCTAAGAGATCTTTGTCTATTCTGAGCTCGTAACAGCTTCTCCTATGTTTACTTTTACAAAGTTTTAGGTTTTCTATTTAGGCCCATGCTCAATTTTAAGTTAAAGTTTGTATATATGTATACACACACATACGCACAAAGGGGCTTCAAAAGGTTCATGGAAACATCTTTTAAGTCCATTTTTCCATGAACTTTTTGAAGCCTTCTTGTATGTTTACATTGTAACAGATCATAAATAGAAATGTTAACATATCATTTGGTTTTCACATCAGTCTTTTAAAAGAACATGATTTTTTATGTAAAAGTCTTTATTTTGAAGAGGTTTTTTCTAATCATCTTGTACTTGTGCTGTTTTTTATGTTCTGACACATAGATTATTTTTTTTGACAAAACACATAGATTCTGCAAAGCTGACCCTGTGCGTTAAGTGTGTGGCTAACGCAGGGTTCAGGAGCTCCAGAGGTATTTGTGATAAACCGCAGTGGGCACTGCTCTGTGTGCTAGAAGGGACGCCCCTGTCCCTTTGGCTCGAGTCCTGTTTCTCTTGCCTTGTCAGCTTTCAGTGGCTGTTTAGCTAGGAGCAAACAAACTCTCCTCCAGGAGTCAGGTAAGTAAGAATGTGAAACAGATGAAAGGCATGGTTGAGTCCATAGGTTACCTGTCCTACCTTTTCCTCCTTTCTGTTTCTGTTCTGTACAAGCTAGACCCTTCCTTCCCTCTGAGCGTTTCCCGTGCCCTAAGCATCTCGGAAGAAGAGCTGCACTGCACGTCCTCTGGGAACATCTCCTTTTCTTTGGTAGTCTGTTTTCTTGAGAGGGAACCCAGAATTGACTGTGGGATGCTCCTGGCCGAATATCTAACAATGTTCTTTCTTGTTTTTTCCATCTATAAAAATGTGAATTTTTATTAAACTATACATTTAACATTGGTAATGCCATTTAGATTTGTAACATTTTTGATATGTGCTTTTATCTCAATAAATTAAAATAATAAAATCAAATTAATGATTGGATTCCCTATCATGTTCCAAGGTGACCAATAAGGGTTTGAGCCCTTGGTATCAGCTCATTTTTCCCCTTCTCCCACCCTTTCTCCTTTGTGAATCCTTGAAAATTTATATATATATTTTTTCATGTATTAACAGTGACCACTATTTCCCTTCACCCACTTTTCTGTTGTCCGTCCTCCTGGGAAGGGTACCCTCCTGGTATCGCTACTCTCATTATTGGTACTGAGGGTTTATCTGTCCTGGATTCCCTGTGTTCCAGTTCTTATCTGTACCAGTGTGCAAGCTCTGGTCTAGCCAGATTTGTAGGGTAGAATTGGGGTCATGATAGTGGTGGAGAGGAAGCATTAAAGAACTAGAGGAAAGTTGTGTGTTTCAGAGGTGCTATACTGCACCCTGACTGGCTTGTCTCCTTGTCACCCTTCTGTAAGGGGATGCTAATAGTGTTCTTTACCAAACTGTTAATCACGAGTTAGAGCACTCAAAACAGCTGGAGAGGGAAGGATTCTGTACTGCAGACAAATAGGAAAGATGTGAATGGGCCTTTATTCTAATTGTGTCACCTCTCATACCCCATCCTTTCCGTATTGTTGGAGCATTTTTAATCTTTGAGTACTTCTACTCCATGTCTACCATGAGAACCCAATATGTGTGGCTCCTTGTGATGCTCTCTGTGTGTTTGGTATATGGGATACCATTTAATTTGTTACCTTGTGCTTCGCCACAGGGAATGCAGTCCATTACTACTGTGTAATGTCTTTTTCTTCCTGTTTTCTCTCTCTGCCCTGTGGCTCTTGTGCAGGTCTTGTGCAGCGCTGTGTGATTATCCAGAAGGATGACAATGGATTTGGGCTGACGGTCAGTGGAGACAATCCAGTCTTCGTACAGTCTGTAAAAGAAGGCAAGGCGTTTTCACAGTTTATCTTGAGAGCAATCTGTGAGAATAGAAAGGCTTAAATAATGTCTGTTTCCTGCTTTGGTTTTTGGAATAGAACAATTATAGAGATGGCAAATCATGTGGCTTTTGTGCCAGGTTTGTCTTTGACAAATCATATACCTTGGTCATGATGATACTTTGTACATTGTCACTCAATTTTTTAGAACATAAAAACAAGTTTTTAGCATCTAGAACTTCATTTCTTCATGATACCAGCGATATTCTGGTAGCTAACGATGAAAGAGATGGTTATAAGTTCAAAAATATTAATTTATTTTCCAAAACAGTACTAAACACAGTGTCTTTTTCTGTGCCTGTATATTGAGCACCTCTGTGTATTGGATGTGATGATTCAAGGTGGGTATTTTTTATCCACATTTCACACTTGTTCTGGCTTAGAGTACCAAAAACATGTCAGTTTTAGGTCACACAGCTAGTAAGTGACAGAGGCAAGATTTGCAGCCCATATTATCAGTCACTGTCTCTCCCCCAAGAAAAGTATCAGTGACTACACGGGGATTACATGTCAAGTAAGTGCTTTGTCTTCTAGATGGAGCAGCCATGCGGGCTGGAGTTCAGACAGGTGATCGCATCATCAAGGTAAGGGCTGTTGGGGAATTGATGATCAGATTAAAAACTGATGTCATTAGCCAGATTGTTTCTGACAAAGTTTTATCAAAAGAAAACTGAACTAAACAGCACATACCTATGATGGAGCTCTTGACTCTAAAGACTTATTTATTTAATATTAATTAAATATTTCATTTTAAAAAATTTATTTAATATTAATGTGTCCCTTTACTGAAGCACATAGTAAAGGGCTTGAATAGATGGACTCATGTATCTTCCAGGGCAAAAGAATAACTCACTGTTGTAAAGCCACCATTTCGTTCCAAAATAATTTGTTAGTAGGGAAATGCCATCCAATATTGGAGAGGTATGTTGTTACTTGTTAAACTATATTATTCTTCCAGGCGATCTTTACAACTGCATGACAATAAGTAGCTGAAGAAATAGGGTGTTTTATATGGAATACCAAATAAACTAGTTGATATATGGAATACCATTTGCAGTATGTTTGTATGTGGATTTCTACACTATATGCATGTATGTATGAGGGGAGGAGATGTGGGTTAATTTAAAACATAGCACTTTGGTCTAGGTATAGCTCCACCAGTGAAATAACAGGCCAGGAAGAGGCCTTGCACTTCAGATTAATCGGCAGAGAATTAAATTATTTCTTTGAATCTGTCGACAAACTTTACTACTTAAAATCAAATCACTGTATAGGATAGAACACCATAAATATACTTTACATACCAAAAAAGAAAGGGGGGAAAAAAGGATCTGGGGAAAATATGTAAAACTTCTATGAATAAGCCAAAAAGTATTGCCGTTAGCACTCCATTTCATATATACACAGTTTATTCCGCAGAAAATGTGTACCCTACATCTGTGCAATCAGTGGATGGCGGCAGACACGGCTCTCAGCAGAACGCCTCTCTCGGTGTTGTTAGGCACCTTCACAATAGAAAGTGCAGTCAAAGCAGTGGCTTCCAAGGCCGTTAACTCAGAAGCTTACGGTGACTAGGTTTTTTGTTGTTGTTGTTAATTCCAAAGTGGTGATTTTGATAGATTTTCTTGAAGGACACAGGATGATCATGGAGGTTTATTACGAAAAATTTCTAAGAAGATTGGAAATCGTCTTAGTGAGGCAGGCCAGGAAAACCACACTGAGGAATTCTTCCGTCATGACAGTGAATCTGCTCATTCTTTGGTGGCAAGAGCTGTCCTGGGAGAAATCATGCCCTCATCACCACGCAGCCCTGATCTTGTCCCATCAGCCTTGTTTTTGTTCCAGAACCCAGAGCGTTTCAAAGGAACACAGCTTGAGTCCTTTGAAGTTGCCAAAACTGTCGTTTCCATGGGGTATAAATTAAGAGTGCACTATTATTTGGGCAAGGCTTAGAGAGATAGGATGTAGACCTATATGGAAGATGTATCAAGAAACAACAGCTTCACACTTCGACATTACATTTTAAAAGGTTTCCCTGATGCTGCAGCAATATTTTTTGACTTATCTTCACATTATATATCTTTACTGTGTAAAGAGCACTTTATAAGTCAGTAACAAAAGAATAAAATTTTTAATGGGCAAATTTTATAGCATTATGCAATTCCCCAAAGTACCATATATACTTGTGTATAAGCCTAGTTTTCCAGCACATGTTAATGCCGTTTTTGTGATATGATTAGGTGCCTCGGCTAATATTTGAACCCGTTTATACTCAAGTGCACACGGTAATCAAAATAGATGACTTTGGGGAATTGTAAAGTAAAGGGTTTGAATAAATGGAATCATGTACCTTCCAAAGCTATTTACATCCCTGGTCTATGGTTAGAGGGGATTTATCAGAGGCTTTATCCACATGTATTTCCCCTTCATTTTTTAAAAATGGAAACAACTTTTAAATGGCTCAAAAGGGAGATCAAATGATACTACATTTTAACTTAACTACATCTGCCATCATTGATTTTACAATGATTTGTCTGGTTTAGTGGAGATTTGGTAGTCTGCCCAAAACGTAATTGTGTTTTTAAAGATTAGGTCATGATTAAAAAAGCCAAAAGTAAATTGAGTATTTTTGTGGCAATATTGCTCGATAATTATCATTTTAAATGTGTTATGATTTTTACAAACCAGTAAATTGGTACTCTAACCCAAAGAAACCTTTTATATTTGCAAGAGTCCTTAACTGTGGTGACTTATAAATGTGTTGCTTGGTATGTATTGTTACTTGTCATGTTGAATAAGTTATAATGTCTCTTAAGCCAAGGCCTTGTGTTGGATTTACATTAATTTGTCACTGATTTAACGAGTGGAATATTTGTAAAAGTGAATATTCAGCCATGGTTGTGTGTATGCTCACATATTAACCTCTGTATGCATGCGCACATCAGCCCATCTCTTGAGAGAATGTGTCTGACATATACACCTTTCTTTTTTTCTTTCAGGTGAATGGAACTCTGGTGACTCATTCAAACCATTTGGAGGTGGTGAAGCTAATCAAATGTAAGAGAATAGCAGAGAATTCTATTCCCAATTTTTTTTTAAAACATTTTATTAGGGGCTCATACAACTCTTATCACAATCCATACACACATCAATTGTGTAAAGCACATTTGTACATCATTCTTAAAACATTTTCTCTCCACTTAAAACCCCGACATTAGGTCCTCATTTTCCCCCTCCCTCCCCGCTTCCCCCTCCCTCATGAGCCCTTGATAGTTTATAAATTGTTATTTTGTCATATCTTCCCTGTCCGACGTCTCCCCTCACCGACTTTTCTGTTGTCCGTCCCCCAGGGAGGAGGTCACATATAGTCCCTTGTAATCGGTTCCCTATTTCCTACCCACTCTCCCTCCACCCTCCCTGTTTCACCAATCACACCACTGGTCCTGTAGGGCTCATCCTCCCTGGATTCCCTGTATTTTCAGTTCCTATCTGTACCAGTGTACATCCTCTGGTCTAGCCAGACTTGCAAGGTCGAATTCTAGTCATGGTAGTGGGAGCGGGGAGGAAACATTTAGGAGCTATTCCCAATTTTAATTGTTTTCTGAAATAAAGCAAACATCAACAAACCTTTTAAAAAATTGCTTATAGTGAGTCAGATAGGAAGCAGTTTAGACCTTGTGGGCCACATGGCTAACAGCTGAGGAACCCTGGTGGCACAGTGGTGAACGCCCTCGGCTACTAACAGAGGATTAGCAGTTTGAACCGACCTGTCAGTGCAGTGGAGAAAGATACGAAGATGCACAGCCTTGGAAACCAGGCAGAGCAGTTCTGCCCCGCCCCTATAGGGTCACTCTGCGTGCCAATGGACTCAGTGGCAGTGGTCAGCAGTTAGATTCAACAGCAAGGTGTGGGCAACTGCTTCACACCATCCTGAAGAGCTGAGGCAGCCATTAACAAAAGATACATGAGTGTGCGTGACCGATGCGATAAACCTCGTATCTACAAAAGCAGTCTGTGGATTGGATTTAGCTCGCTGCTGAGCCCTGTATCCATGGAAACTCGTGAATATTCTTGACTTTCAAACAAGTATCTTCTGATATACATGGGGGCTTTAAAAAGTTCATGGAGAAGTGGAATATTCCCATGAATTTTTGATGCTCTCATACGTAGTTACAGGATTGTTGTCTCTCTTAGCAGTATTAAAATACTATATATAAGAAAGAGATGCATAAGTCACCGGAGAGGGAGGAATTTATGAAATCAGATGCCAGGGTCTGATGAACTGAAATGAAGCTTTAAGAAAATCATTGGACATAATCACTGTCCTTCAGACAAATAGCGTAGGGAATCTCTTGGCTTAGAGTTAAAATAGGATAGACTACTTTGATGCCAAGCAGAATCACTACTACTCTACTTAATCTTTTTCTTGGAGTCAACTTTTTTCTTTT